CATCTTCTCACTTTTCACAGTAACAATGATCCATAGAGCAGATCAATTTCAGTCTTTGCATAGTTGACAATATGGCTTAGTATATGGCTTGGTATGTGACTTGACTAGAGGTAGAAGTCTATGTTAAAGGAAAGGTTCAGATTAAATGAATCAGATTCAGATAAGAGGAAGATCACAATTGTATTTATCCATATTCTTCTTAATTCCCCCAACTTTCTTCCTTTTCATTCCTTGTACCTTATTTGAACCTTTCTTCCTCCTTTTCTTCCAGACACTTTGTGTCTTTAATTCCCTTTTTTCCTTTTTCTTCCTTCTTTTTCTTTCAGACACTTTGTGTCTTAAATCCACTTTCTTTTTCTTCCTTCTTTTCTATATCTCCAACACGTTGTGCATTTATTTATTACAGGAAACACTTTTCTCCCAACAGAACTTTTCATCTAGTATCATTTATCTGAAACTTTTAATCTGAAGGATTGGAATGAATGTAGGTTCTTGGTGTTATAGACAAACAGGCTTAAGCTCAAGGATTTCATGCAATGGAAACATTAGGGTGGTCATTTAAACTTTCTGGTTCAAGAAGGAAGTGCCTCAATCATTTCTACCCTACACATCATAAACCATTTCAAGCAAGAACCAGGGCAAGTTCTAGAGTTATTCATGCAGTAAAGTACTCTCTGAACAAAATTTTCTGTATAGGCTCAATTTCTCACAGTTCAGAGTGCATGCTTGACTTTCTCTATATGAATCACAATTAATCTCTCTACTCTTTCACATTGAATGAGTTATGCAATCATTTCATTTTTCCTCAACATGCAAGGTATAAGATTGTATCCTTAATTTGATCAATTATATAAAACTTTGATCAGTCTAATCCTCATGGAATTCCATATCACAACTAAAATCCAAATCACACAAGAAAACTTAGAAAAGAAAAAGATTGAGATGTTTCTCTGTTTTGGCTCATCAATTTGTGTGGCATCTCCATGAAGTTTGCATGCCATTCAATCAGACCCAATTCCCAGATTTAAACGTTGTTGTTCCCAGCAACTAATTTAAATCTAAAACAGTAATTGATCACTGAAAAACATTCATATACAAACCAATAGCATCAGTACTATCGCAGTGTGCATCATGCAAAAACAGTGAATATCCCAATCTACTTAACTGAATTTTGAAAGTAAACTAACAGCAAAATAAAACTAAAAGAAACTAAAATTAAAATGACAGAAACTAAAGTGGAGTGAAATCAAGAGTCGATGTGAGACATCGAGTCCTCCCATCTAAGACAAGAGGATCTGATCCTGGATCTGTGGTAGGAAGCGGTGTATATTCATCACCAGCAGTCTGATCCTCCTCCACACCAGTACTAACTCTAGCAGGCTGAACTCTAGCAGTCTAATCAGCAGCAGGCGGGGATACAAAAGTCTGATTCCTTTGATCATACCATACCCCATTTGTAACACCCCGTATAAATTCGGTAGTGTTATCATTACATCGTATTAAGCTACGCTTAATTAAAAATGCGGAATATTCTTTTTCCCTTTCAATTATGACGTCATTATCGATTACCAACTTGATTACTTAATCAATTTTATAAAATATCGCCTGAATGTAAATTGCAATAAGACATCTACTGAAATACCTCAATATAACATATAAAGTGAATATCTAAGTCACGACATTACATCACGTAATCCGGACAATATCCTGATACATTAATACAACTCTAATAAAAGCAAGACATAACAAGTCTACGTGGCATCGACAATCCCCATGCTCACCAAATCAACAGCGTCTCAACAAGATAATCCAAAATCATAACATGAAGCAAAAGCATAAAAACAGCAAGCATATCCAGCATCCAACATGTCAGCATATAATGTCATCACTATCTAACTCAGCTCCGGCCTCCTGCCGCCTGAGGTCTCAACATTACCTGACCGTGAAATAAGCATTCCCCAAACGTGGGGTGAGATCTCTAAACCAGAAATCTCAGTAAGACAAGGGGTCCTCAAGGATCTTCCACCCCAAGCTCACTTACATGTGCAATATAAGTTCCAAAACTATGCAGTGCAACAGATATTCATGCCATGTGTGTTTATCACTATCTACTGGCCAGAGAAATGCAGGAATACGTCTATACCTACATGTAGTACAAGGAACACCGCTTGCACCTCACCCACAGCCTCACCATCTTGTATGTACCACATACTCAGGCTTACCGTATAGGTGGAACACCACATGCATATCATAAAGACACTAGCATATAACAGCTCAATAGCATTTCCAAAATATCAAAAGCATGTAACACAACATGCATATAACCATATCCCCATGGGACATGGTGGAACCACAACATGGCTAAACCGAGGACACGAAAGCTTACCTTGCAAGCTCACTATCCAATGCCAAGAGTCCTCACAGCTTAAGTCCAACACACAGCAGATCACAATCTGATTTAGGACCAGCAAGTGTATCAACATACATAGCTCAAAAGCATTAACATAAAGACTACGTTCTCCTTTAACGATTTACGTCTTAAGGCTTCCAACAAAGCCACAAGCCCTTAATCATAAGATTCAAACTTAGTTCATTAATTACAGAAGTTCAACTTCATCAATCTAGGGTCCAGAAACCCCCAATAGCCTACTGTACACACAGCACAACTACTGTTCTTTGAAATCCCAGAATATCCGGATATTCCTCGGGACATATCCGGATATGCAATATCCGGATATCTCACTGACCATATCCGAATATACAATATTCGGATATCCAGATTCCCATATCCGGATATCCAATATCCGGATATCCAAATCCATATCCGGATATCAAATATCTGGATATTTCACAGGCAGATATCCGGATATTTCACAGGCAGAATGCAGAAACTGCATTTCGTGAAGATATCCTTCCAAGGTTGGGTTTTAACCGATTATAAACACTTAAACATGCATTTCTAGGTGTGTTTGACATTACCCAATGTTAAGTTATCATCTTTTAGCCTTTAGATGCATCAAGGTTCCATTTTTAAGCATAAAACTCAAGTTAAAGTGTGACGATCATACCACAAGCCCAAAACAGAGGATGGAGATGCTCTTGGAGCTCACCAACAGCCCCTCAACTACAGACCACACAGGGTGTGCGAAAATGGAAGATAAGCAAGGCTCTTCCTCACCAAAGGTGGCTCCTTGGACCTCAAAAATAAAGCACAAGGTTCACTCACTCCACCAACCCAAAGTCAGCCCCCAACATTCCCTCAAGCTGACCTCCTTACTCAGAAACAGCACCACAAACCCCTTCCCAAAGCTGGCTCTCCCTCACACAAGTGTTTAAGAGAAGCTTTCAAGGAAGAAAAAGACTCAAAGCTCAAGAAATGGTGAAGAAAGGGATGAAACAGTAACACAATCAGACCAGCCACCAAAACCCACGAAGAAGAGGCATTTTTCTAGGGCATTGTGCCCTTAGTAAGTGTATATATAGTCACTTAACAATTAAATACGCAATATTAACTTTAATTGCTACGCTTAGCATTTTAATCCCAAACTTTGGATTCTTAACCTACTCAATTTTACAAGAATTATCATATTTTTCTTATATTTTCCTGAGCACCTTTCCGGTACGCGCTTTTCATAGCCAATATCAGTTTCTGGCACCAGTTCTCATTATTTGGACTTGAAACTCGTTTTACAAGTCCTATATATTTTTCTAAAAATTATCTTGCACTTACATTAATTTTCCGGGATACTTTTTTGGTACGCATTTATACCGACTAGCAGAACCGGTATCTGCACTTTTCTTCCAAAAAATGACTATCAACATTCTAAATCACTTACTATAATTATTAGAGCCTCATAATAATTATTAGGGTCAATTATGGAATCATTTCCTAATTTTGCATAATTAATTAATTAAATACCTTATTTAACGGTGCGAGTTCTTACACCATTCACTTCTGCTTGTTCTGCAGATCCCTCATAATCACAATCTTCTGCAATATGGCCTTTTCCACAAATTGCACACGCAGAACTAGTGTCCACAGAAGCAACATTTTGAAAGGATAGCTGCTTAGTGGGAGCATCCAACTGTTGCTGTTTTTGCATTTGCATCATCTGATCATTCTTGGCTAACAAAGCATCATACCCATCAAGTTTTATAATTCCCGTTCTTCTGTCATTCACTGGAGCATTGTCAAATTCTTGAGATGCTAGAGATTCAAATATGTCAAGGGCTTCCTGAGGAGTCTTGGTTGTTAATGAACCACCAGTTGTGGCATTCACCAATGTTCTTGTGTTGGTTGTCAACCCTTGGAGAAATATTGCTGCCTGATTCCACACTTCGATTCCATGTTGTGGACATTTCCTTAAGAGTGTTTTTAATCTCTCCCAGGCTTCATAGATAGACTCTGATTCTTTTTGTTTGAACCTTGTGATCTCATGCTTCAATTTCGCCCTCTTTGATGCTGAAAAGAACCGAGCTAAAAACTTAGTCTGCAGATCATCCCAAGTTGTGATACTTCCTCGAGGTAATGATTGTAACCATCTTCTTGCATCATCCTTCAGTGAATGAGTGAACAATCTTAACAAGATAGCATCTCTAGTCACACCATTGATCTTCTCCGTATCGCTCAAAAGTAAGAAATTCTCAATGTGCAGATAAGGGTCTTCTGCACTTGTGCCAGCAAATTGTTCTTTCTGCACCAATTGTACTAATGCAGGTTTCAAATCAAAGTTGTTGGGTTCCACATTGGGTCGAACAACACTCCCAATCAGTGGAATGACAGTGGGAGTCATGTAATCTCCCAATGTCCTATGTGGTGGTGGCCTGTGATTTTCTGCCATGACCTCTTCCTGAATTGTCACACTGGATTCACCTTTTTCTTGTAGCTTCCTTTGTCTTGCTTTAAATGACCACCCTAATGTTTCTATTGCATGAAACCCTTGAGCTTAAGCCTGTTTGTCTATAACACCAAGAACCTACATTCATTCCAATCCTTCAGATTAAAAGTTCTGTTGGGACAAAAGTGTTTCCTGTAATAAATGAATGCACAAAGTGTTAGAAAGTGTTGGAGATATAGAAAAAAAGGAAGAAAAAGAAAGGGGATTTAAGACACAAAGTGTCTGAAAGAAAAAGAAGGAAGAAAAAGGAAAAAGGGGAATTAAAGACACAAAGTGTCTGGAAGAAAAGGAGGAAGAAAGGTTCAAAGAAGGTACAAGGAATGAAAAGGAAGAAAGTTGGGGGAATTAAGAAGAATATGGATAAATACAATTGTGATATTTCTCTTATATGAATCTGATTCATTTAATCTGAACTCTTCCTTTAACATAGACTTCTACCTCTAGTCAAGCAACATACCAAGCCATATTGCCAACTATGCAAAGACCAAAATTGATCTGCTCTATGGATCATTGTTACTGTGGAAAGTGAGAAGATGGGAAAGCCTATGGCAGTTTGAGTACAATAAAGATTGAGTGATAAGTGCACCCTTAAACACTAGAGTGAAAGAGAGTTAAATTCTCACAATTTTTGAGAATTTCCTTGTGAGGGGGGTGTTTTGTTTGGAAGTCTCTGTATGTCATCTCTACTGATCTGTTGAAAAGTCACAAATGATGTTGGGCAAATAATAGGAAATAAGAGATTGCATGGTTATAAGCTTGTATCTTGAAATGTTGATATTCTGTAAATTGAAAGTCATCCTCATGAATTTCATCTGTAAAGAATCTCAATTCCTTCTCTATTTTTAATTCATACTGAGGACATCAATGTTCAAATCTAGGAATTGTGATAAACCCTTGGTTTATAAGTTTTTTAAGCATGAATTAGCCTAATTTATGTGATTAAATGGATGAAAAATAGGGTTAAATTCCTGGAAAGTCCTAAATGCAAGTTCTGAAATTTATATTGAAAATTTACATTGTTCTTGTAGGAAAATGAATCTCAAGAAGCAAAAGAGAGAAGGAAAAGATTCTAAAGAATTTGGAGAATTCAAGTGTTGGGCGCTAAAACGGTCAAAGCAAACGTTTTAGCGCGCTGCTGCAAAATGAAGCCAAAAAGTGTTGGTGTTGAGCGCTAAAACGGCCAAAGAAAACGTTTTAGCGTTCTGCTGTTCAATAAAATGCAAAAATTCCCTGGAATTGTGCGTTTTAGCGGTCAGGATGAATGTTTTAGCGCTAAGGACAGTTAAAAGCAGTTGGACATCCGTCAAAGTTGAACGCTAAAACGTCCAACAAGGAACGTTTTAGCGCCCATGTCATTTTTTGGATGTTATTCAGTTGGAATTTGTAAACTATAAAAGGGCAAAGGGCCTTCACACTTGAGATATATCTATGCTGATCTTATTTTTCATTCTCTCAACTTTCCAAGTTCAGAGAAAGTTCTGAAATTTCCAAATTCCTTAGTTCTTAGTCTTGTATTAGTTTAGTGTACTGTATGTAATTGTGATTGAAGATTGAAGATTCAACAACATGACAATGGAGTTTGATCTTTCTTCTTCTCTTGTTATTTCTGTTTCTATGTCTGAGTAGAGTCCTTTGTAGTTGGATTTCAATGGAACTTAAAGATGAATTTATGTATGATTGATTTAATATTATGATTATCTTTTATGTGATGATATAAAATTGTCTTTGTCAATTCTTTCCATTAAGGGAGTAGTGTAGAACAGGAATATTTACATTATTTCTGTAACTAGCAATTTCATCATCAGTGTTCTATTATTCAAGGGATTGGAACTAAGACTCTGATGTAATCTTTAAAATCTTAGTGCTTAATGTATGTATTAAGAAGGAAATCACCAAGGGATTGGGGTTCTTGATTCATGTATCAACCAAGATAATAAGGAATTACATCTTGGTTATCATAAAAAGGTTGATTGACATCACATGGGAGATAATTCATAGTTGGATCGATCCTTACATAAGTTTATGGTTGAGGGACATTGATTTCTTACTACTTGTTGTAAAATTATAATTCCTATTTTAATTATTTTACCAAATCTAGATATAATTCAAATTCTGGTGACAATTATCAAGGCATTCAATGAATTCTTGTTTGATTCAACTTAATTATGAATGGTTAGTTAGTGTTTGAATACAAATCCTCGTGGGAACGATCTTTACTTATCATTTTATTACTTGTACGACTAGTACACTTGCTAAATTTGCAATAAGTTTTTTTTTATAATATTATTAATATTAATTATATATTATATACCTGATATTGTGGGTTGCTTCCCACTCAGCGCGTGTTTAACGTCACGAGCCTGACGTTTCTCACTTAACTTACCTCCATCAGGGCAACTGTAAGAAGTTGCCTGTCTACAACACTATCAATATATAACTTCAACCTCTGACCATTGACGGTAAAGCTTCGGTCAGAATCCAAGGGACTAATTTTCACCGCTCCATAAGACTTAATATCCTTCACCACAAATGGTCTAGACCATCTGGACTTTAACTTTCCTGAAAATAAATTCAACCTGGAATTGAACAGCAGAACTTGTTTTCCCACCTTGAAATCACTGGGCGTGATTTTCCTGTTGTAACACCCCGTGTATACTCGGAATATTAACATTACATCGTATTAAGCGGTGCTTAATTAAAAATGCGGAATATTCTTTTTCTTTTCAATTATGACGTCATTATCAATTACCAACTTGATTACTTAATCAATTTCATAAAATATCGACTGTATATAAATTGCAATAAGACATCTACTGAAATACCTCAATATATAAATAAAGTGTGTATCTAAATCACAGCATTACATCTCGTAATCCGGACAATATCCTGATACATTATTACAACTCCAAAAGACTCAAGACATAACAATACTATGTGTCATGGACAATCCCCATGCTCACCAAATAAACATAGTAAACAACCAGTCTCAACATAAAACTCCATAAACATAACCTGAAGCTATAAGCATATAAGCAGCATGCAAATCCAGCATCCAATCATGGCAGCATAATATAACAGCAATCTAACTCAGCTCCGGCCTCCTGCCGCCTGAGGTCTCAACATTACCTGACCCTGAAATAAGCATTCCCCAAACGTGGGGTGAGATCTCTAAACAAGAAATCTCAGTAAGACAAAGGGTCCTCAAGGATCTTCCACCCCAAGCTCACTTACATGTGCAATATAAGTTCTAAAAACATTTATCTCATTATCAGTTCCAAAACTATGTAGTGCAACAGATATCTATGGAATGTGTGTAATCACTATCTACTGGCCAGAGAAATGTAGGAATACGTTTATTCCCTACATGTAGTACAAGGAACACCGCTTGCACCTCACCCACAGCCTCACCCTCTTGTATGTTCTACATACTCAGGCTTACCGTATAGGTGGAACATCTCCATGCATATCAACAAGGCACTAACATACAATAGCTCAACAGCATTTCCAAAACATCAAAAGCATGTAAAACAGCATGCATATACCATATCCCCATGGGACATGGTGGAACCACAACATGGCTAAACCGAGGACACGAAAGCTTACCTCTAAGCTAGCTATCCAATGCCACAAGTTCAAAGTCCAATCATAGTAGATCACAATATGATATGGACCAAATATAAATCAATAAAAATGTACCACATGCATACAAATTAAAGACAACGCCTTTTCAATACGTTTTAATGTCTTAAAGCTTCTAACAAAGCCACAAGCCCTTAATCACATGAGTCTAGCTTAGTCCATTAAATACAGAAGTTCAACTTCATCAAACTAGGGTCCACAAACCCCCAATAGCCTACTGTACACACAACACAGCTACTGTTCTGCGAAATCCCAGAATATCCAGATATTCCTCGGGACCATATCCGCATATGCAATATCCGGATATCTCACTGTCCATATCCGGATATACAGATTCACATATCCAGATATCCAATATCCAGATATCCCAAAACCCCATATCCGGATATCCAATCGACAAATATCCGGATATTTCACGACAGAATGCAGTTTCTGCATTTTCGTGAAGATATCCCTAAAAGGTTCCCTTTTTACCGATTTTAAACACCTAATCATGCATTTCTAGGCGTGTTCAACATTACCCAACAACAAGTTATCATCTTTTAGTCATTAGATGCATCAAGGTACCATTTTTTAAGCATTTAAACTCAAGTTAAAGGTTGGTACACATACCCCAGCTCAAAACAGAAGAAATGGTTGCCCTTTGGAGCTCACAGTCAGTCTCAAGCTACTGTCACAAGAGGATGCACAAAAATGTACAAGAAGTAGGTCTTTCACTCAACAAGAAGGCACCTTTGAGCATCAAAATGCCAACAAAAGGTCACACCCCTCAAGAACAGAAAACACAGCTGTTCAAACTCCCTCGCACAGGTTCTCTAACTCAGAAACAGCACCACAATGCAGTCCCAAGGCCAACCCCCAACCTCACCAAGTGTTTAAATGGAAGAACAAACATCAAAGGTGAATGCTTGCTCAAGAAATGGCGATGGAAGCAAGAACACTATTTCTGGTCAGCCTCCAAGAAAAGCCACGCAGCAAAACAGTTTTCTAGGGCTTTGTGCCCTTACAAAGGGTATATATAGCCAAAACTCATTAAAACGCACATTATTAACTTTAATTGCTACGCTTAGCATTTTAATCCCAAACTTTAGATTCTTAAACTACACGTTTTTCCAAGAATTATCATATTTTTATTATATTTTTCTGAGCACATTTCCGGTACGCACTTTTCAAAGCCAGTACCGGTTTCTAGCACCAGTTCTCATTATTTGGACTTGAAACTCGTTTTACAAGTCCTATATATCATTCTAGTAATTATCATGCACTTACATTAATTTTCCGGGATACTTTTTCGGTACGCAATTATACCGACTAGCAGAACCGGTATCTGCACTTTTCTTCCCAAAAGCGACTTTCAGCATTCTTAATCACTTACCGTAATTATTAAGCCTCATAAATAATTATTAGGGTCAATTATGGAATCATTTCCTAATTTTGCATAATTAATTAATTAAATACCTTAATTAACGGTGCGGGTTTTTACACCTGTCGTGCCATAACTTGGTCTTTTCTTTGTATAAGCTTGCACTTTCATATGCAGGAAGACGGAATTCATCCAATTCATCTAATTGAAGTAACCTTTTCTCACCTGTTGCTTTTGAATTAAAGTTTAAAAACTTGACAGCCCACAATGCTCTGTGTTCCAATCCCACCAGCAAATGACATGTTTTTCCAAATAACAATTGAAATGGAGACATTCCAATAAGAGTCTTGAATGCTGTACGATAAGCCCATAAGGTGTCATCAAGTTTCTTGGACCATTGAGTCATAGCATTTCCAACAGTCTTTTCCAGTATACGCTTAAGTTCTCTGTTAGAAATCTCAACCTGACCACAAGTCTGTGGATAGTACGGGGTACATATCTTATGCCTGACTCCATATTTTGCAAGAGCAACTTCTACCAATCGGTTGTCAAAATGTGTTCTCCCATCACTGATTATGGCTCTCGAAACTCCAAATCGCACAAAGATATCCTTTTTCAGAAATGCGATCACAACCCGAGAATCATTAGTTTGTGTGGCTATGGCTTCAACCCATTTTGATACATAATCCACTGCCACGAGGATGTACTTATTGGAGTAGGAAGAGGGAAAGGTTCCCATGAAATCCATACCCCAAACATCAAAGATTTCCACCTCCAGTATATTGTTCAATGGCATTTCATGTCTCCTGGATATATTACCAGTTCTTTGGTAGTTATCACATGCTTCCATATACTTCCTTGAATCCTTGTACAAAGTTTGCCAATAGAAACCACTCATCAAGACTTTTGCCGATGTTCTCTCTCCTGCAAAGTGTCCACCATAGGCTGAACCATGACAGTGCCATAAGACATCTTGTTGTTCCTCCTCTGCAATACATCTTATGATTACCCCATCTGAACACCTGTAGAAAAGGTATGGTTCATCCCAAATATATCTCCTTACATCATGTAGAAATTTTGTCCTTTGTTGCCATGTGAAGTCTTTAGGCATTGCTCTAGCAGCTTTGTAATTTGCAAAATCTGCAAACCATGGTGGAGTATTAATGGTCAAGACTTGATCCTGCACCAACTTGGAAACAGTGTTGATGGCCAGTATGTGCTCATTAGGGAACTCTTCTTTAATCACTACTTCCGATCCTTCTTGTAGATTTTTCTCTGTGATCCTGGATAAGTGATCAGCCACCAAGTTTTCAACTCCCTTTTTATCTTTGATTTCCACTTCAAACTCTTGTAGAAGTAACATCCATCGAAGTAACCTAGGCTTAGCATCCTGCTTGGTTAACAAATACTTTAAAGCTGCATGGTCAGTGTAAACAATCACCTTTGATTCTAGCAGGTATGACCTAAATTTGTCGAATGCATATACAATAGCCAATAATTCCTTTTCTGTAGTAGCATAATTCTTCTGTGCATCATTAAGAATTTTACTGGCATAGTAAATGACATGCAACAATTTGTCTTTTCTTTGGCCTAGCACCACTCCCACAGCATAATCACTTGCTTCACACATCAACTCAAAAGGCAGTGAAAAATCAGGTGCCATTATTATGGGTGCAGTGATCAATTTTTCTTTCAGAATGTTAAATGCATGCAGGCATTCATCAGTAAACATAAACTCTTGTTCCTTCCCTAACAACTTGCATAAAGGTTTTGCAATCTTTGAAAAATATTTTATAAAGCGTCTATAAAAACCTGCGTGACCAAGAAAACTTCTCACACCTTTAACATTTATGGGAGGGGGAAGTTTCTCAATAACAGAGATTTTGGCTTTATCCACTTCAATTCCTCTTTTAGACACCTTGTGTCCTTAAACAATACCTTTTGTCACCATGAAGTGACACTTTTCCCAATTCAATACAAGATTACAATCTTGGCATCTTTTTAAAACACTATCCAAAACTTCTAGACAGGCATCAAAAGTAGGACCGAATACAGAAAAACCATCCATAAAAATTTCAATTCATTTTTCTACCATGTCAGAGAATATGGAAAGCATGCACCTTTGAAAAGTCGCTGGTGCATTGCATAAGCCAAAAGGCATCCTTTGGTATGCAAAGATTCCATAGGGGCAAGTGAATGCAGTTTTCTCCTGATCTTCTGGAGCCACAACTATCTGGTTGTAGCCTGAGTATCCATCTAAAAAGCAGTAGAAAGCATGTCCTGCCAATCTCTCTAGCATTTGATCTAGGAATGGAATAGGGAAATGGTCCTTCCGGGTTGCTAAGTTGAGTCTCCGGTAATCTATGCACATTCTCCAGCCAGTGACTGTTCTTGTGGGAATTAATTCATTATTCTTATTCCTCACAAGAGTCATTCCTCCTTTCTTGGGAACTGTCTGCACTGGACTCACCCAAGCACTGTCTGAAATATGTAGATCATTGCAGCATCAAGCAACTTCACCACTTCCTTCCTCACTACTTCCTTCATAGTAGGATTGAGTCTTCTCTGTGGTTGCCTCACTGGTTTAACCTCCTCTTCCATCAATATTTTATGAGTACAAAAAGAGGGGTTAATACCCTTGAGGTCTGAAAATGACCATCCCATGGCTGTCTTGTTCTTCTTAAGCACTTTGATCAACTTTACTTCCTCCCTTTCAGACAACAACGCACTAATGATGGCTGGGTATGTTTGATCATCTCCAAGAAACACATACTTGAGATTTGAAGGAAGTTCTTTAAGTTCCACCTTGGGTGCTCCCTTAGGAATATCATCTACTTTCTTTTCTAACTCTTCTAATTTCGGTTCCTCCTTATAGTATTCTACACTTGTTTCCTCCTTGAATTTGTCTTCCTCAAGTGAAGAGTTTTCTTCTTCTATCACTTCTTCCGCAGCCTCCTGTATGACATCTACTTTGAAACAATCCTCCACATCAACAGGATGTTTAATAGCTTCAAACACATCAATGGTGATTGTTTCTTCATTCACCCGTAACATCAACTTCCCTTGTTCAACGTCAATCAAAGATCTTGCAGTGGCTAAGAATGTTCTCCCTAGGAATAGAAGACTTTCAGTATCCTCCTCTTCCATATCTAGAATTACAAAATCTACAGGGAAAATGAATTTATCCACCTTGACCAGAACATCTTCTACCACCCCTTCTGGTCTCTTAATTGATCTATCTGCTAGATGTAGAATTACATTAGTGGTTTTCAACTTGTTAATCCCCAAAGCTCTACAGACAGATAATGGCATCAAATTTATACTGGCTCCCAAGTCACAAAGTGCTTTTCCTACTTCCACATCTCCAATGGCAATAGGAATGCTAAAACTACCTGGGTCTTTTAACTTAGGAGGAAGCTTCTTTTGAATCAGGGACTACATTCCTCTGTTAAAGCCACAGTCTCACCATCTTTCAACTTCCTCTTCTTAGACAAAAGATCCTTCATAAATTTTGCATAATGGGGCATGTTTTCCAAGGCTTCAGCAAATGGAATGTTAATCTGTAATTTCTTGAAAATATCCAGAAACCTCGCGTAATGATGTTTCTGAATTTCTTGCTTCAACCTCTGAGGATAAGGAACTTTGGCATATGGAGATAGATTAATTGGCTGGTCTTGCTTGTCAACCATTTTCTCCTTCTCCCACTTCATCAGCTTCTTGGGTGAAGAATTGTTTTCAACAACTTCTTCTTCTTCTTTCTTATCTTCCTTAACGTTTTTCTTTTTCTTCATTTTCAACTTCATCATCTTAAACAAAAACTTCTTCCTCCTCTTTCTTTTCTTCTAATTTCTTCTTAACCGGTTGAAGCACAAGCCCACTTCTTGTAGTAATGGATTTGCAATGCTCCTTTGGATTCACCAGTCTATCACCAGGGAACTTTCCTTGTGATCTCTCAGATATCTGTCTGGACAACTGACCAATTTGGGTCTCCAAATTTCGGATGGATGCTTCCTGGTTCCTGAATGATGTTGTTGTCTCTAGTTATTTTTTTTCCTTTGTCTTGATGCCTTTCTGTTCTTCCTAATTGTCTTTTCTAATTCTGGATGAAACAACAAAGAGTTTGGATTAATAGTACCTCGCATACACCAGAATTGGAATTGAACAAACTTCACACATAAATATAAATTGCTGAAAATAAAAATTCAATCTCAAATATTAATGGTGTCTATCAATGTTGAAAGAACAAGTCCCCGGCAACGGCGCCAAAAACTTGTTGCAACTTTAGCAAGTGTACTAGTAGTACAAGTAATAAAATGATAAGTAAAGATTGTTCCCACGAGAATTTGTGTTCAAACACTAACTAACCATTTATAATTAAGTTGAATCAAACAAGAATTTATTGAATGCATTGATAATTGTCACTAGAATTTGAATTATATCTAGAATTGGTAAAATAATTAAAATGGGGATTATAATTTTACAACAAGTAGTAAGAAATCAATGTCCCTCAACCATAAAATTATGTAATGATCGATCCAACTATGAATTATCTCCCATGTGATGTCAATCAACCTTTTTATTATCACCAAGATGTAATTCCTTACTATCTTGGTTGATACATTAATCAAGAACCCCAATCCCTTGGTGATTCCCTTCTTAATACATACATTAAGCACTAAGATTTTAAAGATTACATCAGAGTCCTAGTTCCAATCCCTTGAATAATAGAACACTGATGATGAAATTGCCAGTTACAGAAATAATGTAAACATTCCTGTTCTACATTACTCCCTTAATGGAAAGAATTGACAAAGACAATTTCATATTATCACATAAAAGATAATCATAATGTTCAATCAATTATACATAAATTCATCTTTAAGTTCCATTGAAATCCAACTACAAAGGACTCTACTCAGACATAGAAACAGAAATAACAAAAGAAGAAAGATCAAACTCCATTGTTATGTTGTTGAATCTTCAATCTTCAATCACAATTACATACAGTACACTAAACTAATACAAGACTAATAACTAAGGAATTTGGAAATTTCAGAACTTTCTCTGAACTTGGGTCCAAGTTCAGAGAATGAAAAATCAGAACAACATAGATATATCTCAAGTGTGAAGGCCCTTTGCCCTTTTATAGTTTACAAATTCCAACTGAATAACATCCAAAAACTGACATGGGCGCTAAAACGTTCCTTGTTGGACGTTTTAGCGTTCAACTTTGACGGATGCCCAACTGCTTTTAACTGTCCTCAGCGCTAAAACATTCATCCTGACCGCTAAAACGCACACTTCCAGGGAATTTTTGCATTTTATTGAACAGCAGAGCGCTAAAACGTTTGCTTTGGCCGTTTTAGAGCTCAACACCAACACTTTTTGGCTTCATTTTGCAGCACGCGCTAAAACGTTTGCTTTGACCGTTTTAGCGCCCAACACTTGAATTCTCCAAATTCTTCAGAATCTTTTTCCTTCTCTCTTTTGCTTCTTGAGATTCATTTTCCTACAAGAACAATGTAAATTTTCAATATAAATTTCAGAACTTGTATTTAAGACTTTTCAGGAATTTAACCCTCTTTTCCATCCATTTAATCACATAAATTAGGCTAATTCATGCTTTAAAACCTCATAAACCAAGGGTTTATCACCAAGTGACCACCTTTCCTTCCATTTTTTTTCATCAAAACACTTTGGGTGAGTGTGAACTATCGTTGTGAGTGGAAAAGTTGCATCATTCCTGAGTGTTGGTTGATGTCTAGTGAGAGTGAGGGGGCTGAGTTCTTGGGTTGTGGTTTTGGAGCCTTTTCCTTGGTTGTTCAAGTTCCAAGTAGTGAAATTTGTGAAGAAAGGGTCAACCTTGCTACATATTTTCGTGCTTCTTGAAGTCAGAACCTTGGGAACTACATAGTGAGCTCTAAGAGCATTCATTTTCTATTTTGGAAGCTTGATATGCATTCCTTACCTCGATCATGAGTTTTTTTTATTTAAAAGTTGAGTCTTGGCATGTTAATGAATTTGTTAAGTAATTGGTATGTGTACTGACCCATATAAGCCTAAAAATGGATTCTTGGACATATAATAAAGGTAAAAATTGAACCTTTGAGTGATATCTTCGCGAAAATGCAAAACTGCATTCTGTCGCGAAATATCCGAATATTGATATCCGGATATTGATATTCGAATATGATATCCGGATATTGATATTCGGATATGGGGTTCGAGATATCCGGGTATGGCCTCGACAAATATCCGGATATTTTGAGAATTTCATGTCAGTGACTGTTTTGTGCATACAGAACTGTATTTTGGGTTTGTGGACCCTATATTGGTTAAGTTAAACCTCTGTAATAATTAATCTAAGTCAGAATCAATGAGATTAAGGGCTTATGGCTTTGTGAGAAGCCTAATGGCATGAAATGTAAAAGGAAAACATGGTCTTTATGTCATAGACTATTAGAACCTGAATATTGATATGATTGTTGGTATAAACAGACTGTGAGAGTGCTGTTTGTGGATCTTGGACTTGGTTGGACTCTTGATTGGATAGTTAGCTTGTGAGGTAAGCTTTCGTGTCCTCGGTTTAGCCATTGTTGGTTCCACCATAACTCATAGAGGGATGGTTTATGTGCATGGTGTGTTTTCATGTATTGATCTTTGAAATGCCGTTGAGCTGTTAAGTGCAAGTGCTTTATGATATGCATGTGTTGTTCCACCTAGACGGTAAGCTTGAGTATGTGGCGTCATACAATATGGTGATTCTGTGGGTGGGTGCAAGTGGCGTCTTGCACTGATTGTAGGTTATAGACGTATGTAATTCCTGCATGTTCTCTGGCTAGTAGGATTTTGACACACATGACATGATATTATGCTGCATTGCACTGATTTTGGAACTTATATTATTATACTGCTTTTAGAACTTATATTGCACATGTAAGTGAGCTTGGGGTTGAGACGTCCTTGAGGACCCCTTGTCTTACTGAGATTTCTGTTTAGAAATCTCACCCCACGTTTGGGACACATTTTCAGGTTCAAGTAACTCGGGGACTGATACCTCTGGCGGCAGAAGGCTGGAGCTTAGTTGACTGTTTATGCATGTTATGCTGATCTGCTTGGATGCCGACTTATATTTTATTGTCTTTAAATTGTTATATGATTTGACACTCTGTTGGGCTTTGTTGCCTTATTCAGTATAGATAGTTGTTTATTTGCAATCACATACAGGCAATGTTTTGAAAATGAATTAAGTAATCAACTTGGGTAATAATAATGACATCATAATTGAAAGTAAAAAAGTTAGTTCCGCATTTTAATTAAGCGATGCTTAATACGATGATATGATAACAAATCGGGTATACACGGGGTGTTACATTTTATGGTATCAGAGCACTTTCTAGGGAAAAGCCTGTATGTATTGCAACAACTTAGGATGTTTTGTTGTGTGTCTTGACTGTTATGTTCTTTTGGGTTTTACTACGATGATGTATGTGTGCCACATTGTGTGGGCCTGATCAACTCATTCTTTGTGTAACTTGTGCCACATGATGTATGTTGGCCGCCGTCAGAGAGGCGAACAGTAAAGCTACAAAGGATGTGTTGGAGGCGAACCTTCTGGCAAACATGACCATGATGAAGGTCATGTTGGAGGAGTTGAGGACTGGTCCTGCTGGTGGCCAGTATCCTCCGCCACCACCTTTACCGCCACCGCCACCACCACAACCGCCTCCACCCAGTCATCAGGATGAGAGTCAGAGTCACATTGAGGGTGCCAGTCATCTTACTGGGATGATGCAACCCTACTTTGAACCAGCTGAGGACCGTGATATTATCGACCGTCGGCTGAATGCTTTTCGCAAGTATAGGCCACCTTTTTTCGATGGATCTTATGATCCTATTGCTGCTGCTAGATGGCTTCAGGCCCTGGACAAGATATTCAGGGTGATGCAGTGCACTGATCCTCAGAAGTTGATGTTTGCGACTTATATGCTGGAGGGAGATGCTCATGAGTAATGGACAAACACCTCTCACGTCTATAAGATGCAGGGTCATATGATTACATGGTCATTCTTTGAGGATTGCTTTTGTTAGTACATAGGTCTCCTAGAGACAATCTGAGAGTCAGATGGTCTTGTTATGAATATATTTTTACGAATAAAAGCATTATTTATCTTGTTTCATATTGCATGTCTCAAATATTGAATATGAGTAACTGGATAAAGCCCTTGGAACGAAACGAGTGTCACATTGAGGATCTGTGATAGGGATCACGATCATGAGGGCTCAATGACACCACACGTCCATTGCCAGAAATATGTTCCTAGTCTAGAGATACCGATGATGGGAATTGGTTATCTCGGGTAAGACTAGCACGACTCAGCTACTTGCATGGAGATGCAAGGTAGAGTGCTCGTGAGCTGCAGACATAGAGATGTCTTAGCTGACTCGTGGGTAGACCTATTGGAGAATAGCTCGCACTGAACTGACCCACAAAGAGACACTACAAGGAAATCTCACAGATAGTATCAATAGGTAATGTCTCTTATTATTTGGGTGTGTCTTTCCTTAGACCTGACGTTGTCGTATAGACCTGTGCTCTGGAAGACTTGCTTTGATTGTATATCTTGTATGCCTGAAAAATGGAGACTCGTAGGTATACTCTTGGGCATGCCCTAAGGACTCAGGGCTAATGTGATAAGCTAAAGGAATTCGTCAATCTCTGTGAGAGATTAGGTTATCCGTAGACCGGTAAAACCAGGATGACATTTACGGGACTCGGGAATCTATGCATAGTAAAGGAGTC